CTTTACCATATTGTAATATTGTTTTTATTTTTATTATTATCGTTATTATTATTATTATTACTATTATTACTATTATTATTATTACTATTATTATTATTATTTTCTTTGAGAGAATTGACAGAAAGCATTTCAAAACCGCCATTATGGCCCATGGCCCTTTTGAAAAAAAAACAACAACAACAACAACAACAAGAAAAACTGATTCACTGTTTCTGACAAACATTTTCTGCTTGCTTTTCTCGTTCCTATCTTCCAGCATTGCGGTTTTCATCGCTTTTAAAATGGCGTTTCATGATTTCACGATTAACAGTTTCCTGTTTCTGTTCTATGCAATGAGTTATAAAATTTTGCTGGAACTCGGCCATTTTTAGTCTTGTTCTCTTGGCATTATGAAAACTGGGCCATGACCCCCCGCTCGCGATGCTAAAAGCCCTGAAGTATATTCATAGCGAAAGAACCGTTTACTTACAGAGTTGTACCCAACACAACAAACAGAGTACTTGAGGCTGGCGCAAGCAACTCATTTGAGTCGGTTTAAACCTTGTTGAGTATTTTCGGATCTGTCCTAATTTCTTAATCGTTTTACTCTCTTGATTCAAAAACGTGCCACTGCGGAGATAACAACCAAATGAAGAAAAAAACCGCAGCAGCCCGAAACGTAAAAGAAACAAACAGCCAAAACACCGATAAGCGGCGAGAAATAGAACCCGCAAAGGCAGGATGATGCTAATTAGGTGGAAATGAGTTAATATATGGTTTCATCAGCAACGCCCATGTCAATCTGTTCGGTATCAATAGTGCAAAAGTCCAAAATAGCAAAAAAAATAAATAAATAAATAAATAAAAAATAAAAGAAAGAAAGGAAGGAAGGAAGGAAACACACTTTCATATGTGCATTTTCAGGTCTTTCAAAAGGCTTTGTCTGAAGTTTATTCATACCATTGAAAAGGCAAAGTGTTAGAAAGGATTTCCGCATATCATTACAAGCCTTGGCGTCAAATCAGTTAAGCAAGAAGTTAACATTGCAAGCTGACCTTAAAATTCGAAAAGTCGGGACGCATTGTTTCCATTATAGGCCGGGGTTACAGATGTCGCGCTCAGATATCAGAGTGATTTAATACGGATTTTAC